CTTTTCTTCAAACTATAGAAGATGTTAAAAGTGGAAGGTACTCTGCATATGCGGCAAGTAAATTACACAAAATTCCTTTAAATACTCTACTCGATCACATTAAAGGAAGAAGAGGTAAGCAGTCAGCGTCATACGGATGTACTACAGCACTTTTTACAGATGACGAAAATAAATCAGTCCATTGTTTAACTACTATGGAAAAGTACGGGTTTGGTCTTTCAAGAATTGAAGTAATACATTTAGTGGGCAAATTCGTTAAATAGAATCAACAAAATACTTTTGCATGCAATGCGAAAGGTAAAGAAGCCCCTCCCTTGATTATATTTAAAGGGAAGCAAACATGGACACATATAATGCCTCTAAGGGGAAAATAATTTTCCTAAACTACCCAAAGCATTCACACAATAGATGGATGTAAACCGACATCCTTGAAAACTATTTTCAAAACAGTTTTTAAAAGCCATAGGTTCTGAACGGCCATTACTTTTGTTTTTTGATGGGCATGTGAGTCATGTTAGTATACACCTTATCCAAATGACAATTGATGCTCAAGTGACGATTCAAAAACTACCGCCGCATAGAAGCCACATTCTCCAGCCGCTTGATTTAACGGTAATGTAAGCAGTTAAAGATAGATGGGATCCGTTACTGGTATCATGGTAAATATTGCATATTGGTTAAAAACTACCAAAAGTCAAATTTTCTGTACTCTTAATGGACTTAAAAAATATTGACTAGTCTTTCAGGCGAAATTATTTTAAATGTTATTAGAAAAGCAGGAATATATCTCTTTAATGGTAAAGTAGTACCCGAGGAAACATTTGATTTAGATGCGTTTCAGAGATGGAACACGATGAGATTCTGCAAGAACACGAAATGTGAGGTATTGTGCATCCAGAAAACCCACAGAGACCTAACTGTAGCGAGACCGAAAGTCTCTGATATGAAACTGATTGCGGAGATACCACACAATAAGCATGGGAGCGCGGTATTTGTGAGAACTCAAACCATAGTCTCATCTGTGGAAACAACAAATGTACACGGTATAGAGATAATAACCACTGAGATCGGAAAATGCACAATAACCTCGGTATACAAGCACCCAAACCAGCCTTTTATATTTTCACCCCCAACCAATTTTCAATCACAAGCCAATCAGCTTATACTGGGAGACTTTAACAGTCACAGTTTACTCTGGGGCTATGCAGATTCGGACGCAAATGGCGACGCAGTAGAAGCATGGGCCGAAACGAGTGGCCTCACGTTAATCCATGATCCTAAACTTCCACCATCTTTTCATAGCAAAGTTTGAAAAAGAGGATATAACCCGGATATCTGTTTTTCAAGCAACAACCTCGAAGACCGATGTACCAAAGTATTCCACATAGCAAAAATTCAGCATAGACCAATTGGTATAAATATCTTCCCAAGACCACAAGCTATTCCATTCAGAAGGAGATTTAACTTCAAAAAGGCAAACTGGCAAAAGTATGCAGACATGCTAGATTTTGAACTACTACGCCTTAAACCAAAAGTAGAGAACTACGAAAAATTCGCAGAGGTACTCAAAAATGTGTCTAGAAAAACTATCCCTAGAGGATGTAGACAACAATATGTTCCCGGGATGTCCAGCGAGTCCAAAGAACTAATGAGAACATATGAAACCCTCTATTTTACTGACCCTTTTAGCCAAGAAACGGTTGACGACGAAGCAGTACTACTCCAACAGCTAAGTCAAGCCAGACAGGAAAAGTGGATTGAGACCCTGGAAAAAATGGACATGACACATAGTAGCAAAATAGCATGGAACCTTGTAAAAAACTCAGCGGTGATCCAAAAGAACATAAACCACCTTGCAAGGTTACAGCAAACCAAGTCGCTACTCAACTCCTTACGAATGGAAGAACTACTAACCGATATAAGGACCCAAACACTAGGAGAAGATTGGATTCGGAGACAGACCACCTAGGAACTCCTTTTACACTAAAAGAACTCCACGACGGTCTGAACAGGTTAAAAACGGGAAAGCTGCAGGTGTGGATGATATATGCAGTGAACAAATAAAGCATTTAGGCGAAGGAGCAAAAAACTGGATCTTGCAATTTTATAGCACGTGCTGCAAAACCTACAAAATTCCAAAATCATGGAGGAAATCTAAAGTAATAGCCTTGTTAAAACCAGGAAAGGATCCAGAAGACCCCAGTAGCTACAGACCTATTTCGCTATTGTGCTACTTTTTTAAACTATACGAGAGACTCATACTCGCCAGAATAGAAAAAAATGTCGACAAGCCCCTCATCCCACAACAAGGAGGATTCAGACCTGTCAAATCTTGCACCGGTCAAGTCCTCGCATTAACAGAACACATTAAAGAGGGCTTTGAAGAAAAAATTTATAACAGGGGCTGCTTTTGTAGATCTGACAGCAGACTATGACACAGTAAGGCACAAAACATTGCTCCGTAAATTATACGACACTCTCAATAACCACCATCTGGGAAAGGTCGTATATTCCTTACTACAAAATAGACGTTTTTTCGTTATGCTGGAGGGTAAAGTAAGTAGGTGGAGAGCTCAAAAAAAACGGCCTCCCACAGGGAAGTGTTTTAGCACCAATGCTCTTCAATATATACACAAACGACCAACCTACTCCGACCGAAACCAAGCACTTCCTCTATGCTGACGATCTTGCAATATGTGCTCAAGGAAATAGTTTTGAAGAAGTGGAGGAGAAACTCGAAACTGCCTGCAGAATTCTCTAGGACCCAATTCCTCTAAAACCCAAGTCTGCGCTTTCCGCCTTCGCATAAAGGAAGCCAAGCGAAAACTCCAAATTGTGTGGAATGGTAATGCATTAGAACACACAAATCAACCTATATATCTTGGAGTAACTCTGGACCGTTCCCTCACCTACAGACAACATTGCATAAAAACAAGAGGGAAAGTAACAACTAGGAACAGCATACTCAGAAAGCTAACGGGAAGTAAATGGGGCGCACGTTCTAGCGTTTTAAGAACAACGGCACAGGCACTGTGTTTCTCAACTGCTGAATATGCCTGCCCCGTTTGGAGCAGATCTGCCCACACCAAACAAGTTGATACTGCGCTAAATGAGACATACAGGATAGTAACGGGGTGCATGAAACCAACGCCACTTTCAAATCTATATAGAGCAGCGGGTTTTGCAGAACCATCAACATGCAGAGGCGTTGCAGAACACATAGAGAAAATTAAACAGATCGCGGACGATCGGCATGCCCTATACAAAGCTCGAACACCACGAAAGCGACTAAAATCTAGGAAAAGCTTCCTTGGAACAGTGCAGGATGAACCGCCTGAGTATTTTTCACTTCCCCAGGTTCAATGGACCGGCCAGACCCTAGATTTTAAAACGTGGAAAACCTTGAATAGGATAAGTACGGGGGTTGCTACAGTAAAATCAAATATGACGAAATGAGGAAAAATAGACCAAGATGATGTGAACTGTGACTGTGGAGAAACACAGAATATGGAACATCTTCTTACATGCAGAAACTGTCCTCATCGATGTACCCTTGAAGATGGAACCGACGCGACGTAGCCCGATACTGGGCCGAAATTTTATAAATGACATGTTCGGACACAATAAAGTAAAGTAAGTTAAGAGATGGAAAGATCACTTAAAAGTCTTAAACCCGCCAGCTAAGTCAAATGCGACTGCTTCTACCTCTACATCAAGCACTGCCTCTATTGGAGGCCCAAATAAACTTTGGTATTAATTTTTTAATTGTTATTTTTATAAGCTGACTGTTGTTTATGGAATATGTAACTTTAATCTGCTAGACGAAAGACAATATAATATAGGAAATATCCGAAATTGAAGTGAATATTCAATCCCCATCAACAAGTACCACATCCTCTATGGATAATGTATCAGGTAGTTTTTTTTTAATTATTGCAGGTCAAGTTGCAAGTATTAACACCAAATAAAAAAGTAGGCTTTAGTAGAGTAGTAATACCAACTTAAAAGATTAAAAACAATCATAACGTTAAAAAAATGTTAAAGTAGGTGGTAGAGTAGACTAGCGCGAAGCTTTATGCTATGTTTTCTATATTTTTAATGTTAAATAAAGTGATTTTACAATTTACTTATAATTTATATTTTAAGCAAATCTATCTTACAAACACACAAAACAACAACAATGACACTGTTTGTACACATAGGAAAGATATCTAAACTACTTACCAACTTCAACCATATTTTGTTCTTAAAACGATAAATTTAATTAATAATACTCAAAACAATAATTACATATTAATATAATTAATAATATTGGTTACTCTAATTTTAAGGTATGATTTATTAAGCAAAATAATTGAAAGCTTTATGAATTATAGTGTGTACACTGAGTGTATCCATTAAGAATTTATTAGTTTCATACTTTGATCAACATTACTATTTTATTGTTCAATAATTTACAAAACTAGCTTGCTCAGGTTCAATTGATCTATAGTTGGCGTTATTTACACTCTCCACACCTCTTTTTAATTTAGATAATAATATTACTCCATTCGCTTAGCTCGGGCATATTTGGACAGATTCATTGTCGGAAACCTACAACACAACAGTTCCTACTTCTCAATATTAATAGCTCAAGTATACTACTATTGCAGACTTCTTTCTTTGAAAAAAGAAGAATCATTCTAAATAGTGAAAGTGCATACTAAACTTATCAAATTTTTGGTAGTATATATTTAAAAAATATATTTAATTCGAATCGAATCGAATTTAAAATGAATCTCGACAAAACATAGATATTAATTAATAGCCTAATACAAACAGCAAATTAAACAAAATTTGTTTAATTTACTATTTGTATTTTGAGAACGATTTTCGAAGTGGAAATTGAAACGTCAATAAACGTACTTTAACCTTTAATTGTGGCTTATTCCCAGTTAAATAGTAATTAATTTAAAATGCCACAAGAAAATAGCTTCAGAACAATATAAATGTTTACTTACTTTTTACACTTAGTGGTATATCGTTACTCGGTAAAATAGAAAACCGATATGGTTTTTTCGTCGTATAACTAGGTTCTGATGGGTCTTGCTCAGGTACTCTAAAGAGAGGCAGTTCTTGATTCTGTGGTCGTTTGTGTCGTCGATCCAGACCCTTAGACGTAGAAGGTCTTGTAGGTTTTCTTGTGGGTTTTCTAAATTTATCAGGACAACAAATGTGAATTTCGGACTCGTCAAATTGGCAAAAGTTCACGTCATCGTCTGAAAGCAAATCTAATGCCTGATGATGACAAACCTTTAGCGGTTGACAAACGCCCCGTAGGCCTTTGATAAAGCAATCTACAATAAATTAAAAAACTGATTAATTAGGAAAAAGACCTGATGTATCATTGAAATATCAATTCAGAAACTTCTCTGTGTTTCTTTGAGCAGTATTTGTTTTTACGATTGGTAGGTTTCTAACCTTGCCAATCACCCTCCACATTTTATCTGTGCTTGGGACCGGCTGTGGTAACCGCAGAGCTACTTAATCCACCCCGCAATCACCCCCAACGGAATTGACGGAATACTTATATAGGAAAAATATATCTGGGAAGATCGCTGGGAATAAAATGTTAGAAAACGATAACATCAAGGAAAGCTGGAAAAAACTCAAAAATAATATAATTAACGCAGGAACAGAATCACTTTGAGAGAGGAAAGTAACGAACACTATACCATACCAAAAAAGAAAACACCATGTTTTTAGCCTCCTGAGACCCAGAGTATTTTTTTTTTAATTTTTTTTTAATAATATATATATATATATATATATATATATATATATATATATATATATATATATATATGACATTGGGTCTATCTATTAAGATAAACTCGAACATAAGAAAGAAAGATTATAATAAATACTCATATTTTTTAACAATCTTTACTTATTCATTATTTTTATACACAGTACAGTGTATTAGAAGGGTATGAACCTCAGTCTTTGGTATGAAACTTTAAAAAACAATTTCGTTTCCGTGTACTATATAAAAATATCTTACATTTTGTACAAAATGCAGTTGTGGTATTTTTACAATTGATCTTTCTGCATCTATTTTGTTTATCAGCATAGTCCACTAAATGTTCAGCCTTATGAAGACGTTTAATTTCGGCAGGTATGGGTTGAATTTCGACTCTTCTTTTTTTATGTTTTGGCAGGTCTTTGTAGTCGCTACATGTTTCAGAATCGGAGGACTGAGTGTTGTCCAAAATCATCTGCTCTCCCATATCTAATTTGAATGATCTCAGTTGAGGAATAGTTTTGGTTGGTACATGTTTTTCCTTTTGTACTGCTCTGTATCGACACCAAGAGTTGCAAGCTGCTGAATCTAGCATGTGGCTAATAAAACGAATTGTATACTTTCTTGTACCTGCTCGTGCCGGACAGACTGCCATCATTCTGTCAACAAGGTCAATTCCGCCCATGAACCGGTTATAGTTTTTAATCACCTCAGGTCTATTAACCATTTCGTATTCCTTTTTACGTTTTGACCATCTTCTGCGTTCATTTGGGTTGTTAGCAGCATGGTATATAGACACAATCGTAACAGGTGTGTTGTCTAACCAGCGAGTTATTGCAATACTTCCATCACCTCGAACCTTCGTTTCTGAAGTGTCTCTTGGATTTTTCGTGAACTGTATTTCTGGTGAAAAGATACAATTCCAAGGGACTCTCCTGTTTACAATCGTGCCTGTTGCGTGGAAACCTCTTTCTAGTAATATATCAGCAAGTTTTATTGTCGTAAAATAACGATCAAAGTAAAGGTGATGTCCAGGAACAAGACTTTCACACAAACTTAGAATTACTGATTCACCCAAGCAATATTTCTGTGCTGTAAGCTCTGGGAATGTTGAATCACCCGATACTATCATATCGCATACTAACCCATTGGGATTGGCAAGTACAAACACCTTAATACCAACAGGGTTTGGTTTTCCTGGGCAGTATTGACGAATTCCGCAATGACCGGTGAAAGGTATTATCATTTCATCTATACTTATATTATCAGATCTTATTTGAGCATGACAACTATTTAATATACTGTTGAACAGAGGTAATACTTTCCAAATTTTGTTTATTCTTCATTGATCATTGATTTCATCATCATAAACAACCTTTAGAGATGTTCTGATTGTGAAAAATCGGATTCGCGTCATAGCATTTTTGACGAATAAAACACCATACTTTCTCGGCCAATACATTCTAATCGTCGGGAGCTCTATAGCACTCATAACAAATAGGATGCCAATAAATGTTTTTATCTCTTTACTTGTCAACTTCAGCTCTGTTCCTTTTCTTTCTACATATGTTCTATTTGTTGCTACAGTCATGGTTTCCAATATGCGGTCATCAATATATTGCTTAAAAAAATCTTCGCGAGTCCATAACTGACAATCCATATCTTTATACCTTGGCTGGTAAAGGAGTCTTTCTAGGGGAGTGAAATTACCGGTCTATGCATCAGCTACAACTGGTAATGGTACTGGAGTACCATTACGGTGACCTCCACTACGTCTTACTCTTGATCTGGCACCACGACTACAACCTGCTCTGATAGATCTATGATACGTACGTGTTTTATCACTCGTGTTTATCACGACGACAGTGATAATACTGACTCAGATGGAGCCTCTGAGGTTTCTTCTGGGGTGTACGAGTTGTCTGAAGAATTTATGTAGTCAGAATCGTCATTATCTGATTTTGGCGACACAACTAAGGCATCTTCTTCTTCTTACGTGCCACAATCAAAATATGTCCTCATGAATTTACAAAATAAAAATCGAATAGCAAAAACTAATCATCTAGATATACAATAAATATAAAAATATATAAAAAAGTATATGATGACATTAATATTTTATGATTACTTACGTCGTGAACAGAGATATGTAAGATCACTGGTCGTGAACGAGGACGGTAGGCCATTTTTCATGCTTTATTTGTTATATAGTGTTATAACTACACATATTTAACAGTTACATTATACAGGTCCCAACTCTAAGAAAGTAAAGTAGTTTTCTTTGGTACCAGTTGCTAAGTTTATAATAAATTACGTGAGATGGCGTCACTAGAAAAGTTTGATTTTTATGTTATAAATATATGACACTAGGCCCTAGAAGGTTAAAGATGAAGTGAAGACAAAATTTGTAGAAAAGAAGGAAGCCTTTTTACAATACAGAACACAACAAACACAACAGGCATACAACCACTATAAATGAATCAGAAATAAAACGAATATTAAGTTAGATAAATAAAAAAGGGACACTGGCAGAGTTTCTCAAAACAGATGGAACACGATTTATATGGAACAGAAAAAGAAATATGTAGCATGATCAGAGAACAAAGAAAAAATGAAACGAACTAATAAAAATGAAACATATTCACAAGGAAACCCGGGTAGACTAATTTCGATCCCTGTTTGCTAAAGGTAACGATGATGAACCACCAACACCAGAGGTGACGACAAACGAAGAAATAAATATTGAGGAGGAAGAGGTAAAGGAAGCATTAAGGAAATAAAAAAATAGAAAATCACCAGGTGTTTGGGAAAGTATGTATTATTTTGTTTCATATTACATTTAATATTTTTCTGTTGCGGTACTGTAATGTGATCTAGTTTAATGCTGTATTCTAACAAGCTTTTTTAAATTATTTTACTTCCTGCTATTTCGTAAAATTGTTACTGACTATCTCATTTATCATGTTGTAAGTACGGAGGATTTGGCTTTCTCCTTTGTATTCTGTCACCAAGATTGAAACAAGTGTAAGGTTTTGTATTACCGTAACAATTAACTTAAATTTTTGCCATTCAAAATCGTCCGACAATAGGGTTGATTTATGGCATGCCCTTGCCTACGAGCTGTTGACCACCCAACGGCCAGAGGGTGGTTTTTGCCCTAGTAACGACACTACTAGACCTGATACAAAGAGGACAAAAAGAATGTTAGAAACAGCAGAGATGAAAACGCTTAGAAAAATTGATGGTAAAACACTATGGATAGCTAGAAGTACATATATACGACATAGATGCAAGGTAAAAAACATCAAAAACTGGGTAAGAAATAGAAAAGTAGAATGGAACAAGCATATAAGCCGAATGACAACAAATAAAGTAGTAAAGACAAAAACAGACGGTTCCCCAATAGGAAGACAATCAGTAAAAAGACCACGAAAACGATGGAATGACAACTTACTGGAGGCACATTGAAAAACAGACAAAGTCATGTCTATATAAAAAGGATTTGTGATAATCTATCAAGTGATAAAATACGATTTGAAAAACTCAAGAAAGCACACACCAGTCTCAGTGATGAATTTGAAAACAAACTAGGTGATAAACGTTTAAGGTGACAAATCACAAACTGTTAGTTGGATGACGATACACGTAAAATTTTGTGCTCGTATTGATTTTCACGTTTATTCTGTAGAAAATAATTATTTCGCAAAGAAATTTTGCATGACTGTTCTATATATCAATAGTCAGTAGTTTTTGCAAAAAATTTTTGTAAAAAGTGCAGTTACAGCGAAACAATTTCTGTAAGTACCATTCCACAATATAATAATATAAAACCAAATAATAATTACATACATAAAAAACCAGACAATGCCGTCCACCTCTTTTTGTTCGAACTGCTCGAAAACCATAGCGAGAGCTGACCGCAAACTCCAGTGCGATGGATGTAAGCGACAAATACATATCACATGCACCGACCTTTCTTCGGAGGATCGCGTCACCCGACAGAAAATTCGAGGACTGAGCATACATTGTAACTCTTGCAGCTCCAATATTTCTAATATTTCAGAATTAAAAGATCTTCTGCTAGATTTTAAAATGGAAATTCGTGCGAAAATTGATGATTTTGATAATAAAATAACTGAGTTAAACGTTAACTGAGTTAAGCTCAGCCATATTGATTTAGTTAAGTCTACCGAATTCACGGATTATATCGCTAACGAAGTTGTAGATCGTATAACACGCGCTTAAAATATTCTAATTAGAGCCGTAACAGAATCTTCCTCTGGGGATGTACAACGCAGAAAAGATGACGACGCGAATAAGGTTAAGCTTGTTTGGGATACTGTTGGCTGCAAGGAAAAGTAAATCACCTTCTACAGAGTCGGCAAAGCAAACCAACGATTTCCCCGAATGATAAAGGTAGTAATGGGTTCGGAATACCACGTTAAAGATATTCTGAGAAATAAAGCCAAACTTCTGGAAAACAAAGCCATGGAAAAATTCTCAATAATTGACGACAAGACGCCCATCCAACAAGTAGGTTTAAAAGAACTCGGAAGTGAGCTATAAACTCGCAAAAATAACGGTGAACATGATTTAACTGTTAAATACATCATACGACATATAATTTATTATTTCTTATTGTTCCCAAAAATAAGTTTTTCTTATTAGTTGTGCAAACCTTTTAGTGGTAGTATGCAAATATACTAGATCTGATTCAAAAAGGTGCTAGTTTACGTTAAAAACTATTAAAAAGTTGAGACGCCACAAACATTCAAAAATTTCGATTGTATGATTACATTTATATTACATACCTACTGTGTAGTAATAAAAAGTAAAGGATTGAATCTTAACAAATAATCTCTTACCTTCGTTTATGCCATTCGAGCAAATAATACCAGCTAGAAAAATAAAAAGTACAAACATATTGAAAACTACTTTGTGAATAACTAAAATTCTCCAGTGATTTAAAAAATATTGATATTAGTAAGTTTTTATTGACCCAATATGTATTATATATCTGGGATTTTCCGACGCCAGTTTTATGCAAACATTCTTTTATTTGTTCTAAAACCCAGTAGCGGTCCTCAAATTACAATATTTTAAAGACACACCTGGTCTGAGATATTTATTTTATTTCACAAATATATTCATTAATATTTAAAAGCTTTTGTAAACTTTTCCTGTAAACCATATAGTCCAAATAATAGAAGTAACAAAAATCGCCTACGATATATATCTCGACACCACAGATATGAGATCCCAAAACTAATCATAGAAACCAAAAGAAGACAATTGTTTTTATTGGACACATTATTGAGCCGGTTTTATGGTATAAATGTCTTGGAACTATTGTCAATTAGACTAACCAACATTCAGAAGAATTTCGTTCACGCGTTAAGCAAGCACGAGCTGCGTCCGCCAAAGTGAAAAAACGGTTGATAGCATCATCTCTTTTTGTGACTCTAAGAATTAAAATGGTTACTTGGTATGTGTTTTCCATATTCCTATATGGTGTATAAAGCTGGACATTAAATAAGGAATTTCTTAAAAAGGTTGAGATTATTGACTTGCGAGTATAGAGGCGTGTTATCAAAGTCTCCTGGACGAGTAGAATCACAAATCAGGCAGTGCTGGAAAGACTGAATATTGAACCTGAAATTGTATTTACTATAAAGAAGAAAAAAAAACTAGAGTTTCCTAGCCACGTCTCTAGATGCATAAGATATTTATAAGTTCTTATAAAATTAATGGGAAAATCCCAGTAGTTGGCTGTATACCATCGTTTAAAAAAAAAACACAAAAGTTAGAACACTTTACACTTGTATTGTGGTATAAAAACAAATCATTATCAAAGAACGTTGACAAAGAATGTAGCGTAGAATCTTTTAAGTAATTTTAAACTGTTTGTCCTCGTTTTAGTGTAGTGTCTTGCACAATTTTATGTCATTATCAATGTTTCCACATTCTACGCTTGCCGGATAGTTTACATTTGACGAAATGCCCCTGAAGATGCTATTTTAAGCGAAAGTACTTGGGCTAGATTTAATTAACTTGTGCTCGATAATAGCCTTATTTTTCAAAGTTCATTTATTCGAGCATTCAACCTCATTTCATTTCAATTTCAATTGAAAACAAATAGTTAAAACTTTTTAAAAAAGTGTCGTCAAAATTTATGTACCAGAATAACGTTTTCGATCTGAACATCATCCTCATCCTCAGTGCCTTGTGTAATTGTATCTAACAATAAAGTTATCACTGAGACCTCCATATATGAGTTTACATCAGGTCGATGACAATGGATAACTTTTAATTACTTTAGGGACTACATGTCTCCTTGCTCGATTTTTAACACGTGGTACTTGTCAGTTAAAACGACACAGACCAACTGGCTGAGGTGACAAGAATATAATTTAAGAAGACTGCTGAACGTGACTAGGTATAGGTGTGTTCCGAAACTAATGTTATTTTTAATTTTAAAATTATACAATTTATTTTGTTGTAATAATAACTAATATCTTATTAATGATTCTTTAGTTAAAATTAAATTGGTTTAAATGATAAAATTTATTTTCTTAAATCAGCAAATCTCTATTATTGAAAAGAAATGAACTATTAAATTAGTGGGAATAATTTTTAAGTGGTAAGAAAGTGATAAAGGTATTCATCACAGTACCACATCACTTCCTTTCATTTTCTACCTTTATAACTTTCTTACCACCCATGATGTCATAATTTCAACCTTAATCATTTAAACAAATTTAATTTTAACTACAGGATCATTAATAAGATATAGTTATTATTACAACAAAATAAATTTTATAATTTTACAATTAAAAATTACATTAGTTTCGGAACACACCTATACCTCGTCACGTTCAGCTGTCTTTTTAAATTATATTCCTGTCACCTCAGCCAGTTAGTCTGTTTCGTTTTAACTGACAAGTACCACGTGTTAAAAATCGAGCAGGTAGATATGTAGTCCCTAAAGTAATTAAAATTTATCCATTGTCATCGACCTAGAGTCACAACATAATTAAAATGTAACATTTGGAATGAAGTAAACCCATATATGGAGGTATCAACGATAACTTTATTGTTAAAGCTACAATTACACAAGGCACTGAGGATGATCTGTTCAGATCGAAAACGTTATGCTAGTACATAAATTTTGACGACACTTTTTTAAAAAGTTTTAACTATTTGTTTTTATACCACAATAAAAGTGTGAAGTGTTTTAACTTCTGTGTTTTTTTTATATGAGTTCTTCTTATATTCTTCTTATTCTTCACGTGCCTTATCCTTGAAGGACATTGGTAATCACCATAGACCTTTTTACTCTGTTTGCAACAGTTCTGAAGAGTTTTAATATTTTTGTTTCACTTCAATATTTTAAATTTTTCAACCAGGATATACGTCGATCCCCGGTCCCCTTTTCCAATAAACTTTCCCTTATATCATCAATCGCATGAACTCATATTTTTCATTTCTTAGTATCTGTCCAAAGTAGCTCATTTTTCTTTCCTTCAGATTGTTTCTTTTTTTACCCTTTTGTAATTGCATTCATAATAGTCCAGGCTTCAGCTTCATGTGGACCCATTGTTCATTTTGCTCACACCTAGTTTGGCTGTGAAACATTCGTGAATTGTTCGGAATGACTTCAATAGAATTGGAGTGTGCAAGTTAATTCGAAGTCTAGAAAGCCTTGTTATTACACTCCATGGATTGGCGGTAGTCAGTCAAAACGAAACTGATGACTTTCGTTATGACGATAAGAAGAGCTAAGGAATTGTTTTACTTTCATGACCGATATTAATCGTTGGATATCATGATTAATTCGTCTTCTTCTTTTTATATAGACATGGTTCTATCCGTTTTTCAATGTGCCTCCAGTAAGTTGTCATTCCATCGTTTTCGTGGTCTACCTACTGAGCGTCTTCCTATTGGTGGACCGTGTTTTGCCGTCTGTACCACTCCATTTGTTATCATTCTGCTTATGTGATTGTTACATTCTACTCTTCTATTTCTTACATAGTTTTTGATGTTCTCCACCTTGCATTTATGTCGTATATTTGTACTTCTAGCTATATTGGTCTGATGACAGTTTTGTAAATTTTGCCTTTAGTTTCTTTCAACTAATTAACATGTTAAATTTTCTGGCGGTTATATTAAATTGGAGCAGCATACGTTGTAAATCATCTTTACTTTGAGAGAGTAGTATTGCGTCGTCTGCACAGCAGATTATTTTAAGTTTTTTTTTCCCTCATTTGGTATTCTCATTTAGTTCTTACCTTTTTTATTATTTCATCCATAATTAAGTTGAACAAAGGAGGTCTCAGGTAATCTCCCTGTCTTATCCCATTGCCAGCTTCAATATGGTCGGTTCGTTCTTGTTCTACTTTTACTTTTGTGTTGTTTCAATAGTTTTGATTATTCCTAGAGGTATCTCTCTTGCATACAATAAATGGATAACACCTTTTAATTTGACCCGGTCAAATGTCTTTGTTCGGTCCACGAAACATAGATATGCCGGTTTATTGTATTCTAATGATTTCTCTTGCACTTGCCTCATTATAAATATAGCGTCGGTGTAATTTGCCTGGTTCTATTTGTCTCCATTTTTGAAGAGAGGTATTAGGATGCTTGATCTCCATTCTTGAGGAATTCTGTTATGTTCTATTATTTTTAAATTAGTTTTAATAGGTGTTTGCTCAGATCTGCTCCTTCGTACTTTATTAGTTTGTTTGGTATTCTGTCCTCTCGTGGCGATTTTTTTTAATCTCCGTAATGCTTTCTTTACCTCTTTCTCCTCAATATTTATTTCTTCGTTTGTCGTCGCCTCTGGTGTTGGTGGTTGATCCTAGTCAGCTTTAGCAAACATGGATCGAAAGTAGTCTACCCATGTTTCCTTCTGAATGTGTTGGGTTATTATTAATTCGATCATCTCTTTTCTTTGTCCTCTGATCATTCTCCATATTTCTTTTTGTGTTTCGTAGAAATGGTGTTTCATCTGTTTTGGGAAACTCTGCCAGTGTTCCCTTTTTATTTGTGTAACTAAAGTATTCGTTTTATTTCTGAGTCGTTTTTAGTGGTTATATGCCTGTTGTATTTGTTGTGTTCTGTATTGTAAAAGGGCTTTTTCTTTTCTTCACATTTTGTCTTCAGTTTCTCTCTAAATCATGGTGTATTCTATTTTGATATGAGAGTGTTCGTTACTTTCCTGTCTCCAAGTGATTCTGTTGCTGCGTTAATTATATTATTTTTAAGTTTTTCCCAGCTTTCCTCGATGTTACCGTTGTTAGTATTTCATTCCCAACGATATTCTCTGTTAATCTTTTCCTCTATAAGTATTCCGTCGATTTTGTATTTAGTCCTTCGACTTTGACTTTTGTTTGTGTTGGCGCCGCTCTCTTGGGTGGGAAGTATATCAGGATTATTCCTATTTTAAATAATACTAGGCTATGGTCGCTGCCTACATCTGCTGAGTTGAGGCATCTTAGGTCGATTATTTTTGATGTATATTTCTGTTGGTTATAATAATTATAATCTATCATGGATCTTTGTCCACGGGTATTATTAAATGTATATTTGTGTTGGTCTTTGTGGTAAAAAAATGTGTTGTTTATTCTTAGTTCGTTATTCGTGCAGAAGTTGATCATCAGTTCTCCATTTTCGTTTTTAACATTCTCGTTATGTTTTTGTTTGATGCCGGATATTACTTAGTTGCCTATTCGAGCGTTAAAATCACCCAATATTATCATCTTTCCTCTGACTTGATCTACTACTTGTTGTAATTGGTCGTAAAACGCTTCCCTTGCTGTTTCAGGCTTGGTATTTTCTGGGCCGTATACTCCGATGATGTTCATGTCTTCCTTCTCCATTTTTATCTTTGTTGTTACTACTCTTTCTGATATGTATTGACACTC